GGTTGGGGGCAGGCTGTGAGGAGAAAAGTAAAAAGATGGGGCACCTTTGATGCCATAGAGGAAGCCTGCTGTCCAAGTCCTTTGCTGGGACCTTGGGATAGCCCACAGGTTGGGACTGGAAAGGGGCAAAACTTTACTCTGTCTCTGTCTTGTCTATTCACCTCTCATTTTAAGATTTGGGATACTCTAAAACCAGGGCTCAAGTGGTTATAGGAAGACACAATGGGGCCTGAGGTATTCTTTCCCTTTTTGAACACCGCATGGTGAAATTGCCTGTCCATAGTAGCCTTGTTTATTACCCACGATGGGATTCTTAACTGGTGCTTTACTTGTCTGAAGGATGAAAGCCACACCCTAGCTGGGGAGAGGACTGCGCTTCTGCTTGGGCTCTTGCATAGACATCATTAAAATATATGGCTAACAATAGCTTTCTCAAGAAACTTGAAGAATGCTCTTCCCACAGTATCTCTTGCATGCTCTCCTAATGTTTTTACCCTGACAGATTTAAAGACAGCTCCAAGGATTTACCTTCTTAGGGAGACCACATGAAAAACTGAGAAATCTTTTTTCTTTTGTGAGTTTGTTTTATTGTTGGTTAGAAGGGTGTTCTGTTTGACTGTGTATTGGCCAGTAAACCATTTTACAGATTGCACACATCTTTAACCCTGGGGTAGGAAATTGGACAACTAGGGGTGAACATGGGGGTGGCAGCTTCTCTATAAGTGAAACAAAGCCAGAAGGGGAGATGCGCAGGGAAGCCTCTTAGACCAAAAATTGTTCTCCACACTAGTAGCTTCAGCTCCCACTTTGTGTCAATCCTCATCAGTTCCTGCATTCCTTCAATCCCTCCTGCTCCCCTCCTCCTGAACACTAATATACCCACTGGAATCACAGGTAGTGATGCTACTGGAGAGAATTATTTTTTTAAAAAAAGATGTGATATGAAGCTGGATCATCTTATTTTCTAATTTGTTTTATATTAGTAGTTGGCAGTTCTAGGTGTTGGAAATAGTATAGAGATGGGCATCCAAAGGAAATTTATAGTTTTGCTTTCTAGGAAAAAAAGAAATTTGGAATAACAAATCTCTAAAGGGACTGGGATAAAGGCTCATTTTGAACTTAAGTCCATGTCAAAGGTAGAACTGCCCATCTGTTTTTAACCCAGTTCGAATAGAGGGATGAAAGTACAGAAAATCAGCAAGTGTGAGACCAAATTGTCTAATTCCTCTCAGAGTCCAGGTTGGCCTTGGTTTGGGGCTATTCGTGGTTTTAGCCTTCAGAAAACTTTTCTCCTGGGCATGACCTAATGAAGAATCTCCTGCTATGGGGGACAAGGTGTCTGTTTGGGGAGCGCAGGAATGCCAGCCCAGGGGTTAGCTAGAATCTGTTGGTGCTCAGTAAAATACAAAACCTATAAAAAAGTAATAGTCACATACCATCAACAGGATGACTAGAGACTATGGCATAAGTTAAAATCACAAGACCAACATATCTGTTAACAGACCAGTCTGGCTGACTGGAGCCTACCAGAAGTCCGAAGCTCTCCACAGACTTTAGGACTCTGCATATAATACACAGAACCCCCAGAAACAGATATGAGAAATGCAAGTAAAGTTTAATAGTGTTAATTACAGTATTATTTGTCATAGCAAAACATAGGTATATACTCAGTTATTCAACCTACATTATACAGTCACTGTGTCATATCTTTGAGGAATTGTTGGTAGCCTGAAAAGTATTTAACTTATAGTGAGATATCAAAAATGAACAAATGAGACAATGTACTAATTCTTATTCATTTCCTGACAGGTTCTTTCCTCTGATGATGTACATAGTAGAGAAAACAAAACTAAAATGGGATGTTAATAGTAGTTATCTCTCAGAAATGAGATACTAAATTATTTTATTTATTTTGTATTCTTTTCTTTATTTTGTATTCTTTATTCTGTATTCTTTTCTTTTTACAGAAAAACTTCAAATATAAGTTATTTAATGGACTTTTTTTTAAGTATCTGTACATCCACTAAGAATATCCACCTAAGTCAATACTGGTTGTTATACAATAATTATCAATAAGTAATAATGTATGAAATTTCTACCCAGATGTGTGTAATTATAGTGAAAAACATCCTGACTTATCAATAGCCTTGGGCCCCAGGCTTATTCCTCCTGAGCCACATTAAAATTCATCCCGCTGCTAAGCACTGGTAGCTCATGGCAGTAATCTTAGCTACTTAGGGGGCAGACACCTAGTATTGAAGTTTGAATCCAGCTTGAGCAGGAAAGTCTATGAATCTCTTAACTACCAAAAAGCAAAAAAAAAAAAAAAAAATGAAGCTATGGTCCACATGCTAGAATATCAACCTTGAGCAAAGGAGCTAAAGGACAGCACCGAGGCCCTGAGGTCAAGCCCCAGTACCAGCACAAAAATGTAAACTAAAACAAACAGACATCCTGCAAAAGTCCTGCCTGGTAGTCCTGCCAGTAGTGAAATTTGTACCTGTTGAGTATCTGCTCTAGGCCAAGTATCTCTATACAGCCCTTAACACTCTTATTAACATGGAAGGTGAAGTTCACAAGGACCATGTGCCCAATCAAATTCGACTTAACTCTCTCATTCTGGTTTGCAAGCCATGTTTCTTTCAACCTTGGTAGCTCTGGTGGCCACTTCAGAAGAGATAGAGATTGCATTATAGATTTTTTTTTAAAAAACCCATCTTCACAAACTATTTTATTACAGCTTCTAATGCCTGGCCCAAATAACAATTAAAAAAAAATCTTTGCTTTCACATTACTCTCACCGAAGCACAGACAAAAGAAGCCAAAATTGCAGACATCAAAGACAGACAGATGACTAACTCATCTAATGGCAAAGCCCTGGCAAACAAGTCAGAGACTTAAAATTAGGCTAGCTTCTGCCCAGTGGGGAGGTGGCCACCAGCAGTGAAGGGAGAGGGGGAGGGAGGGGCCAGCAGGCCATGTCCTTTCCAAACATTCTCAGTAGCCCTCAGCCAAGGTGTCATGGCTACCTCTTCTTCCCCGGCAGAAAATGACCATCTCTGGTCATTTCTTTGAGCTGATTAAAAAAGCCTACCTTGGAGATCCTACAAAAGTTTAAAAATATAAAAATCTTTCCTCCACAAGGGATTAAAGGCATCAATGTTAATCTTTCTTTAGTTTTTTTTCCCTGTTTAATAATAGATGACTTCAATGTTTTTCAACTAAGGGCCTAATGGCTAGATGTCATATCAGGCTCTCTTTACACACACACACACACACACACACACACATCATCATCATCATCATCATCATCATCATCATCATCTATATCATCATCATCAATCCAATCAGCACCAGAAAAACTTCTTACTCAGAACCTTACAATTCCAATCCATTATCCATCATCTCATCTGCTTCTCATATGAACCCTTAAGGAAGGAAGGAAGGAAGGAAAGAAGGCAGGCAGGCAGTATAATTCCTTTTAACAAGGGTGGGAAATTGAGACCCCATGCTGCTCTGTCTGGCTTATTTAATTAGATAGCAACTTCCTTTTGCAGAGGGACTGGCCCAGAGTGGAGTGGATATGAAAGTTTTGATTCCAAAGGCGGCAGCACTGGGTCCCTGGAGTACAGGAACCTGAAGAAGGGTCTGGGAGTAAGAATGAAGGTAATGAACTGTTCATGTCACAATATTGCCAATGGGGATAGCACCGTGAGAGTCCCTTCTTCCAGTTCCCTGTCCTACACATCCATCAAAGTCCAGCCAAATCCCACAGATCCAGGAACGTTTTTTTTTTCTTGATTACTCACAAAAAGCTATAATAACAATTACAATATCATGATAGGCTTTTAAGAGAAATAGGAAAATGAAGCACAGAGAAGTGAATTAACTTATAAAGCAGACACTGTTTATAAGCAGCACAGTCTGAATTTCAAACTGTATCCCATCCCAACTGTCCTACCCTTTTGAACATGCCACACTCTATCACCAAATTTTCCTTAAGTATCAGTTCCTTGAGAGTAGATGACATGCCTCCTGCTTTTCCAAAATCCCTACCCCTTACCCTCTACAACTTAGCAGAATACCAGGATCACAGGAAGGTAAGTATCCTATGTGAAATATTGTTTGGGTAGGCCCAAGTAACTAGAAAACGGGATATTCTGGGCACTTGGATTATTAGGCTGTCTGCAATATATAATTAAAATAAGGGTGAATGTGAAATATGTAATTTCTCCTAGATGTGTTTAATCAGGCATTCATCATCACATCTGACTCTGTGCGACATAAAAAGAACCACTTAGTAAGCATTTCCTGTGATAAAGGTAATCAGGTACACAGAGATCTCAGAGAGATTTAAGTAAAGGCAAAACCAACACCATTGGACATAGGGATAGACAATGCTCTATACAAGGAATAATACTCTGTCTAAGACTGTTGAGCTTACAAGACACAGAGAATACTTATCTCTTGCTTGGCAAATGAATATTTAAGAGACAGTGAGAGAGGAAGCACAGAGCTCATTGGGATCTGCTCACCATCATCAAGAAGGAAGATGCATCCTGCTACTGTGTAGGGTCAGAAACAGAAGAGAAGTACTTCCTTGGACAAGTTTTTGGGCAAGTGAGGAACTCAGAGATCTCTTCAGCATGTCAATCACTTAATTATCACCTTCCTTGGCAGGCAAAGTTAAACATACATGCAATATACAACTTATTTACCGGGGTCTCATTGCATTTACTTAGCTTTGGAAATATAAAGGGCTCAAGAAAATTCATTGAGATCAGAAACTTTTGAAGGTAGGGATTAGCTCAAGGACATTTAACTTGACATTTGCTAAACTAAGCTAACAATAGCGGAGCTATCTACCACATTTTATTTTTAGCACAGCCTGTATAATAATCTTAAAAGACTGAAAAGCAGTATTTTATTTATAACATAAATATCCCACAGTTCACCCTAAACCCAATGAGAAGAGGAAACACCAGGTTCCTGGTACATACATTTGTGTCCTCGTGGCTGTGGCCATTGGTCTCCACCAACTCCTTTGTACCTTTTAACTGAAACATTTAAAGAAAACAACAGTGAAAGAAGAAGCAAGTATATCTGTTAAGTATATATCCACTTATTAGCTCTGATTTATCTGAGGTTGCATTTTATAAAACTTCCAGTGAAGGAAAACAGATGGAGCACATCATTCTAATGAGTCTTGTTGAAACCAGTTTGAGATTTTAAGAAGCTTGAAGGGCTGGCCAAAAAGAGAGATCTCTCTCTTTTTGAAAGAAAGAAAAAAAAGAAAAGAAGAAGAATCTTGGTCATTATTTTTTGAATAATAAGATTAGAAAGCAGTTCCACAGGCATAAAACATACAAAAGTGGTTCTTAAGAATAAGAAACGATTTCGTTTCCTACTTTGATTGCTATTAATTTAAATCCTGCAGTGTTTGCAAGTTGCCACCAGCTAAATGATGTTCTGCTAACGATCACTCATGAATGATGGGTTTGCCTGACATTGGAACACGCCGCAAGGCTACAGTACATGTCCTCCCTGAGAAAGAACACGTCTGAATGACTGACACCGTATCTGGACCTAATGAGAGAGGATGCTTTGCTTCTTTTCCTAGAAAACACTCTTCTCTCTCAAAAGGCCCCAGAGTAATGAGCTACCAGGAGGTTTAGGAAAGCTGTAATTAGCATTTGATCCTGTCTTGGCTAGGAGCAGACCTCTAGAGACAGGTAGCAAAGGAGTAGGTGAGGTGGCCTGGCAGCTGCTTGACAACATCTCTGCTGGGCTTTTTCCTGCTTCATAGGAAGGACTTACGGTGGGAAACAGGTACTTAAAACTGGAAAGAAAAGAACAATCATATATCCCACCAATGTGTGTGGATTCTGTACACTGGTTCTTCCTGGCCATCTGTGCATATTAAAGTGAAAGTATCTAGGCTTTCCAGGGTAGCTTTAAGCTCAACCTTTAAACTCAAACAAGCACTGGGTGCCAGTATCTCATGCCTCTAATGTATCTATTCTAGAGACTAAGATTGAGGATTGAGCTTCAAAGATAGCTAGGGAAAGAAAGTCCATAGACTCTTATCTCCAATTAATCACCAAAAACCAGGAAGTGGAGGTGTGGTTCAAGTGGTAGATCACCTGCCTTAAATGAAAAAGCTAAGGGACAGTGAACTGAGGATCCACAGGCAGATGGCTATAGATCCAAAGTTCTCTGGTTCATGATCACATCGATCAAATTAATGGAAAAAAATTAACTAATCTTCTTTAAGGGTGCCTCACAGATAGTTCTATGCATAACATATAGGAGTATTTGGGCAAGATAGATGATAGAAAGATAGATAGGTAGATAGATAGATAGGTAGATAGATAGATAGATAGATAGATAGATGCATGTGTCTATATAGTATGTTTTATATATTATATACCTTACATGTACACCACAGTAATAACCAGACTGTCTATTAACATAACATATGAAAGGACTTTTAAAAACACCGTGTTTCCCTAGCTTAAGGTTTTCTTAGTAGGGTATTTTTCAATCTTTTTGTTCGGTGTATCTCACCTTTAGTCTAATAAACTGTACTGCCATGACTTATCACAGAAGAAAGGTCTGTTCTGTAGCAGAAGGACTATTTGTTCATGACTATATCATTCAAGAAGTAAAGGACTATTTGATCCATACCTGCATAAAGATATCAGTTGCTCTCCTTCTCCCTATTCAATAAATCTCAGCCTCACTGATCCAGGTGCCCCTCTGTGCTACTCATTCTCTTCCCATCTCCTGACCACAGTACTGTTCACTCCCCAGCCTGCAGGTGCTTCTCCATGCAGGCCTTGATGCTTCTGCCCTCTCAGTATCTCTCTCTGCTCCTTTCCCAACCTCTCCTCTCCCTTATCTGTTTTGTTTGACTCTAGGTGCAGGAAGCCCCCATCAATATCCTGGAAATGGAAGGCAGCAGTGGTGGAGGGAGGGGCCTAGGGAAGTTGCATCTCAACACACAGAGAAAGCCTAGAGCACTCACCCAACTACCCCTTCCATGAAGGGGTGAGACCCATAAGGGAAGAGTCTGCCCTCAAGACCTAGCCTTTCTTGTCAGTATTCCTCATCACTGACAATTGCTTCAAATAGCAAAATCATAAATGTTGAGTGAAGGATACACATTTCTCTCTGCAAGTATATTTATTAAGGCAGTATCTGTGTGGGCACAGATGCAGTGTTTTCATGTATAGCTGTAGTACACATACACAAAGAAAGCCTGGGAAAGCCATGTTTGTGGAGGCAAGAGGTATTTTTCCATTTACTTCCACGGGAGGGTGGACTGCCAGGAGAGGGCCTGAATTGTGTACTGTGCAGATGTCCTTCTTCAAGGACAAGTAGCGACAGTATGGTGGGGCTCTCAGGCAATGGCTTGGTAGTGGAAATAGTACACAGGTGGCCACTGGCTATTGCATATCACCCCCTCCTACCAGAGACTTGGATATTCTCAGTTCCTCTATTAAAAAAAAAAACCATCAAGTCTGCTGATGCAAAAACTACTTCTTTCTCATGCCTATTTTCTTTCTCTTTTTTCTTTTTTTGTCAGTCATGGGGCTTGAACTCTGGGCCTGGACAAACACTCTCCCACATGAGCCACAGTGTCACTTCTGGTTTTCTGGTGGTTAATTGGAGATAAGAGTCTCACAGATTTTCCTGCCCAGGCTGGTTTTGAACTGTGATCCTCAGATCTCAGCCTCGTGAGTAGCTAGGATTACAGGCATGAGCCTCTGGCTCCTGGCTTCTCATCCCTATTTTCTAAGTCTTTAATGACGGTAGTTGTCCTGACTCTTCACATTCAGTCATCCTTCCTCCTCTCTCTTCTTCTTCCCATCCCTCTCCAGCTCCCCAATTCTCCAGTAATGGAAAGTCAAGTGTGACCTTCTACGCCACGTGAGTGTTTTACTCTTTAAAAACATATGCCACAACACCTCCATATCTATTTCTTTGGCACAACTCAAGAGTCTATTTTTACGACTAAGTTTGGATTTCAAATCAAAATAAAGGATTTGAGTTGTTTAAAGACGGGAAAAGTCCACCCCTCCCCTCTCCAATTAAAAGCTTTATTAAAAAAAAAAAAGCCAAGGAGAGAGCAAGTAGAAAAACACCAGCATAAAGCTATGGTTCTTGCATTGTAACAATGACAAAAGTAGGGGGTGTTGGTGCTGTTCCCAGACTGCTGATAAGTGTGAATTTAGTCAACCAGACATTCAGTTCAATCTCACATTTCTCAAATCATACAGATTCAGTCTATTATGGAGTCCACCATATAACATCATTACTTTTGTACACCATTTTGTCCAAGGCCCTAAAAGTTTACAAATACTCAGTGTTTTCACTTTTCCCTAACAAGTCATTTATGCTTTCTGGGGACAATAACTAATAAAATATATTTATAATCTAAAAATCATTGCAAAAAATAAAAATTGTTTATAAACTAGCTGAGTCCCAGCTGATTATGGCCATGCTCTGTTTACTTCGTATTTTCAATTTTCTAAATCTCTGATTTAGAATAAATGGTATAAATAATGTTCTCATAGCTATGTGTGAATGAAAAACTTAGTACAACCTGCACTTGGTTCACCAGCACTGGGTTTATTATCTGTGATTTTTTTGTGCCCGCTCATTTCATTAGCACTCATTACTTTCTTGGCAACAGGGAGAGGCCAGAACTCAGAAAGCATTTCAAGGGCTCTCATGGCTCCTCCAGGACAGACAATGGGGCTTAGATTTCACTGGGCTGCCTGCCTACAGAGTGATCCATCTTCTCCTGCTGTAAGACAATACTCTCCCATCCACTTGTCAATGTCAGGCCACACTTCTGGATCAAAGAAAGCCAGGATGAAATGATCAGATTTACAAACTTCATATGAAAGGTTTGTAGCACTTGCTATGGCCGGATAAGTGCCCTGATTCAGAGAGCCGGTATATTTTTAATGTAGCCATGAATCTGTCTCTTTTCTCCCTGTATGTCTGCACGACCATCACAGATTAGACTAAACTTGTTTTCTTCATTCTCAGACCTAAGAGGAAACTAACTGCTTATTTATCTACATTGCCAATATTTAAAACTTGTATCAAACTTCATTCATATTTTCTTGAATAAATATTCACACGTAGGTAGGCCTTGGTAGGAACAGGGGTGAAGAAAGAGATGTTAAGAAAGACATTATAAAATCTACAGAGCAAAGTTGCTAGAGTTGACAGGGTAGGGGCTAATTATTCTGCAGATTCCCCTCAGTCATGTCTGTGTGAGCCACGCACTGGGGAATATGTGGTGGGGTTGTCTAAACTGATTTGTTTGCTTACCTGTTCGTGGAGAACTTTCAGTAGTGCTTGTGTGTGGGACTGCTCTTCCTTTGCTTGTTCCAGTTCTGACTTTTTGTTATTTAGCTCCTCCTGGATGGTCAGTAATTGCTATGAAAATAAAAGGATATTGAACATCAGTAGGTCTGCAAGTCAGGAGAACATAAAATATGCACCATATCCTCAAGATGACCAGCATAGAGTTTTACACCACTTAGAGCTCCATCCAGATACTGGCTGAACTTTGGTGATGTATTTCCCCCACTTACGTGTAGGGAACACTGCTGTTCTGACTACACATTTAGGCTGTTTGTGATCCTGATGTACAAAATCTGTTTTAGTGTCTGTGAAGGCACCATTACATTTCTCTGAAAACATATGCAGAATATATTAGTGAACAACATCCTGATAGCTGATGAGATCAAATAATAAAATTAATTCATTTTGTCCAATTCAATTCACTTGCATATTAAGGCAAAGCTAGCTTTCTGGCCACCCCAGAGAATTACTTCACCAAGTGGCAGGTACCACAAAGGATCATCTTATTTTCTCTGTTATGACGATGATGTTTTATTAGATCAGCAGGAACTCAAGTCCAAACTACAATCAATATATCAGCCAAGAAAACTGCTGATATAAGCTGTCAAAACATGAAGCTATGGCTTACATTGCTATTTTGAAGCAGGACATTTAAGGGATTTTTTGAGCTCTCCAGGCCCCATACCTATAACTCATGGGGAGGCTGATCTTGTCTGCCTAGATTCCACTGCTGATTCTCGGCCACACAGTTCTATGTTAGAGGCTGGAGAAGATGCTCATGAGCTTTAAGACGGGCTCTGGAAATAACTGCGTCTGTTCACATCTTGACATCAAAGGACCACTTTGAAAAGACAAAGGAAGATTTTCCTGTTGCCATACCTAACAAATACTGCATTGATGATAGGAGGGTTAGTATATTCCTCTCAGGAAGCAACCTATTTCCAATGTCCAGGTTGCCTTTTCAGAGCCTGGTCAAACCTGAATATCAAAGCCTAAAGAAATACTGGCATTGCCTTTCTCATTAACTAAAAGGGCTGCATTCAATCTTCAAAACTACTGGCTCTGTAGGACTTGCAGGGTAGATGGTAATCAAAGCACACTGCTCTTTCCCTTGACTTGGCACTTGTTCCTCCTTGCTTTGGCACCGAGTCCAGATTTAAGAACCACTTTGGGTTTCCCGAACACTTAGTGCCTTCTATTCTCCTATCTGTGCGTATCACCATCCAACCACATCTGGCTCTGGTTTGTGTGGTTTATGTGGGGAATACTGCTGTCTGAACAGGAGGGGCGACCCTGTGCCTTCAATCTCACTCATGACAGGCCCAACTGTCCCCAGGTAATCTGTGTCTCTGATATAGATGATATCAAATGGTTTTTAACTGAGCAATTTCAAATCCAATGTTTTTTTGAACATGTGTTGGAACTACTGAGGGCTTTGTAAGGTTCTCAACTACTTGAGCCATACCACCACCAGCCCTTTCTTTGCTTTAATTATTTTTGAGATAGGGTCTTGCATTTCTGCCCAGGACTGGCTTTGAGCCATGATTTACCTTGTTATAATGTCCTGTATAGCCAGGACCACAGGCATGAACCACCTTTTCCAGCTTATTGACTGGGGTGTGATCTACTGCCTCTGGTGATTGCATAATATTCTGTGGAATATACTGACCCATTAAGTCACACCATAGTCTTAGGAAAGGATCTGGACATTGCCTCTGGGTAGGTCTGTGGATCTTCCTGTTCGTTTTGTAAAGAACACACAGTGTTTCAGTAATGAACTTGGGGAGGGGAAGAAGAATACTACTTGGGTTCACCTCTCAGCTGTTACTTCCAACACTGCATAGTAATGAGAGAAGTCTACTGCAATCTTTCATCTACACTTTCCAACTCTCCATCCTATAGAAACATACACAATCCCTACCCTTGACCCCACTTCTTAAACTTCCATTCCCCTTCCTCCCTGGGAATCACACTTTTTAGATAAAACATCTCCTCTTTCATCATTGCTCCCTTTGCTTCTCGTGAGTAGATAATCACTTCAGTGGTTTACAGTGTCTAGATCCTTATTTAAATGTATATATTTAAATGTATACATTGTCATGGCTGTCCGGGTTTTCTATATTTTCACTATTTTTTTAGGATCCAGCCAGATTAACATTTTGTATAACTACTCTATTGCTTCTGGTGGCTGTATAATATTCTGTAGAATATTTTAGCCCTCCCTCCCCCCCTTTTTTGTACCTAATATACCCTTCCAATGAAGGATACTCAAACTGTCTCCAATGCTTCTCACTTTGTACAAGGTGAATATTCTAGAACATGTTTTCCTGTGGTCCTGTGGAATGGTTTCCCTTACACACATAACCAGGGGTGAACTTCTGGGCTCACAGATGTGCCTAGCCAGATGTTACAGCAAAGCTACCTTACATTATAGTTATACTGCTCCACATACACCCCAGTGGTAGGTAAGAGCTGCACTGTCTCACATCTTCATGGAAAGCATTTTTCAGATTTTTTCATATTTGCCAGTCACAGAATATAAAGATTCTTCATTAAAAAATTCTATTCTCTGATCCTCTGCAGTTATAAGCATCTCATCATATGCTTTCAAGCTTTGGGGTTTTATTTATCCTTCTTAAAAGAATAGTCAAGGGCACTGGTTCTTCATTCTGATCATTCTGGTTATTTATTAATATCATCTGAGAAGATTTTTTAAAAATACTGATTTCTGGGCTCCACAGGAGGCCAATTAACTCTGAATAACTAGATGTGGGACCCAGGCATTGATTTCCTTTTTATACAAAAAACTTTCACAGTTAATGCTAATGCATAAGGAGGGAATGAGAATTCCTGCTTCCTTCAATGTTCACTTAATCTGTGGCCCTACTATGTGACTTCATTCTACATGTCTATTCCACTAATGTCACCAGTGCTTTTTGTAATTGCCACTTGAAATGCCAGGTTCTTTTCTGCCAGCTATAAGCTGTCTCTAGAAATCCCATTTGTATACATGGCTTCAGCCACACATATCATGTACTAGTTCTTTAGGCTCTGTCTCTCATTTACTATACATTGCATCCTTCTCTGATTGTTTAAATGGTGTCCAATAGCTTATCCTCTCCTTACCCTGCACAACCCTCCTCCTGTGGTATCCAGAGTTCAAGTCTCCACCCCCCCACTCCTGCTTATTCCTCTGTCTTTTCTCCATTCTATCTTTTGTCATAGTTAAAGCTACTAAGATCTTGCCTAATCACACTGACATTCACCCTCTACACTTCTGAGAGATTTGCCCATGCAACAATTAAAGTGTTGCCATGCTTAAAAATATTTTTGGTTTCCTGGGCCCAAAAGATGAAATCCAAAATTCTTCCTCAGATATGCATACATTCTCTTACTACTCAGAATTCTGCCTGGCAGTTTTCTACTTGGTGTGTGTGTGTGTGTGTGTGTGTGTGTGTGTGTGTGTGTGTGTGTGTGTGTGTGTGTGTGTGTGTGTGTGTGTGTGTCATTGGGCTTGAACTCAGAGCCTGGGTGCTGTCTTTGAGCTTCTTATGTGTGTGTCTGTGTGTATTGGTTGTTGGGCTTGAACTCTGGGCCTGGGAGCTGTGTGTGTGTGTGTGTGTGTGTGTGTGTGTGTGTGTGTGTGTGTGTGTGTGTGTGTCGGTCATTGGGCTTGAACTCAGAGCCTGGGTGCTGTCTCTGAGCTTCTTATGTGTGTGTCTGTGTGTATTGGTTGTTGGGCTTGAACTTTGGGCCTGGGAGCTGTCAGCTCAAGGCAAGCACTCTACCACTTGAGCCATGGTGCCACTTCTGGTGGTTTTCTGGTGGTTTATTGGAGATAAGAGTCTCAGGGACTTTCCTGCCTAGGCTGGCTTTGAACCACAATACTCAACTCTCAGCCTCCTGAGTAGCTAGGGTTACAGGCATGAGCCTCCAGTACCCAACTAGTCTCTAAGCATTTTTTGCTCAAGGCACACCTCCACTTTTGTCCTTTTTGATTATTAATTGGGTCTAAAAGGCTCACAGATTTTCCTGCTGAAGCTGCCTTCAAACTTTGATCACCAGATCTCAGCCACATGAGTTGCTAAGCTTACAGGTATGAGCCACAGGTATCCCACTTCTATTCAATCTTGAAGCCCCAACTCAAAGGTTGCTCTGAGCCAACACCAATCCATATGATGCCTCTCTGCAACTGAAAAGAGTCCCATCCTCTCAGGGATAGGGAGCCTTTTTAATTTTTTCTCCAAAGGGCTATTTGGATATTTATAACATCATTCACAGACCACACAAAATTATCAACACAGGCAGAGAAGCTATAGGCAGCCACCAAGATGCATATAGGAAGCTTATGCATCTCTGATTTAAGGCCAAGAGGGATAGACACTCCCCACCCCTACCACTCACAAAGGCACAGGCTTGGGTAATAGAGTAGGGACTGGGTTTCTTTCTCATTTACTTTGTAGGCTTGGCTTCATTACTATTTTCCAGGGCAAAACCTACACAATTATGGGCAGTAGCCTTGGGTTCTTCCCCAATAAAGAATCAACTAAGCAACCATAGTTCATCTAACCTCTATGCTTCCAAGGCATTTGCTACAGTACAACACATTTCCTATCTATCTTCAGTTAGTAGACCTACCAAAAGTGGGGTTGATCATGTGTCAGTTGGGTACACGTAACACGTAGTAGGTAGTAGGTAAGGATGAATGAAAGATTGTTCTGATTTCCCTGGGGTTGAACCAAAATGACAACAAAAACACTTTGAGACTCTGCTGCTGGGTAATTTATTGTTTTAGACATATGAATATATAAAACTTTCAGAGGAAAATAGCAGCTCCACTTAAGACACTTTGATTTATTGCACTGGCAGTTCCAGATACCCTTTTTTCATCTGAAGAGGAATACCTCTTAAAAGGTTAAAGAATTCCAATCAATTAGTTCATAATTATGTAATTAATTCTTCATGTCCCAGTTTTAAAATAAAAGAATAAAACTACCACTAGAGGGAAAATTAAAACCAACACTACAGACTATTTTGTGTATTCTACAAAATTAATGCTTTATTGTTTACAA